ATAGATTTCTAGTATGTTGTATTGTCAGCATGTTCTACACTCTCTCTCTCTGTGTGTGTGTGTGTGTGTGTGTGTGTGTGTGTGTGTGTGTGTACAGCATATAGATCAAGGGTAACATTTTCAAGAGCACTTAAGTGGCTTCTGAGTCTAACTCCTGTTGATTAAGAGACTTAAGAGCTTTTGAAAATTTTTCCCAAAGAGACTATTATATGAATCAGAACATGAGATCAGAACACGCTTCCACCTCAGAAGTCTGGCTCCAAAGTCAGATCCAAATTTCAATGCCCATCTCTGACTGTTGTTAAGGCACTACACATTGGCCATTGGTGTTCAGACCTTACTCCCTGTTGTAACCTTAGTTGATATAAATTGGTGTAGCCCAATGAAGCCATGTGGATTTACACCAGCTGAGGATCCAACATTGGCTGGTTACCTAGAGTGCATAAATATAAATACAGTACATGAATTGGGCCAGATTTCAAAGCAGACTAGGACCCCTTTGTGCCACTCAGGTGACCCAAAAGGGCCCCTGGCACAGAGGAACACCAGACTGGTGCATCTGTGCCACTGCAGGGCCTTGTGCCTTTGCCCTTCCAGTCAGATGTATGGCAGAGTTCTGCTCTGCTATAAATATCCCCCACTGATATAGGGGCCACTGAGGATCAGAAGCCAGGGTACAACTGAAAACTTCCTGGGAGACATAGGAACAAGCTCCCTGGCATATAACTGATGCATACAAATACATGTACATATGTATGTGTGCACATGTACAAATCTGCAGTGTTGGATACATGCCCATATCATCTGTATATAATCGTAGATACACGTATATTTATAGATATATATATAATTTAATAGGTTTAATACACATACTGTAGATAAAAATAATTTCAGCACCTGACTATTTTGTTCCATGCATAGGAATGCTTTATTATTATTTTTGTATTGTATTGGAAAGAGGTGTCTAACCTCTGTTAACCTCTTGAAGTCCTGGTCCCTAACTTAAGAGGCAAAATACCTTTTCTGCCTATAAACATGTATAGAGACAATGTGGGGAGGGGGGTCCTGTCTGCTTAAAGACATTTCTTTGTCTGTTGCTTTTGCTGAAAATTCCTCTTTTCTCAGTATGTGTAATTACCAGCATGATTTATCTTTGACACAGAAGAATTGGTCTTGTGATTATTATTGCCCAGAACTGACATTAGGGCTTCTCTCAGGTGTTTGTAATTGCTTCTCTTATAATAACAACAGTGGCTTTCATCCCAAATGACCACAGAGTAAATTACAAACTAACTTGCAAATCGT